TCTTATTTTTTTATTTATTATATAAAAATAAGAAATCAAATAAAAAATTTTCAAAAATATAGGTGTTGCTTATATTTGTTTTTCTATTTTTTCTGTTTTTTTGTTGCAAATTCTTACTGTTGCTTATATTCGGGTGATGCTTATATTCGGGAGAATACGGTATTTAAAAAAAAATTTCGATATATAAATTAAGATAGATAATATGCAAATCATCACGTGATTAAAATTTTAGGTTAATATTTTTTTGTGAATTTTTTTTGTGCTGCATTTTATAGTCATTTTAAAAAACATACATCCTTAGCAGGCTTGCCTCAAATATTACCTCCTTTTTCTATTTGAGAAAAAATACGAGTTCTTTGATTTCATAGTTTCCAACTTTTTTTCAATTCAGTGGCTAACTCAGTGTCTTCAAAATAATCTATAATAATTCTCTTAACAATTTTTTCCAAGTTTTCTTTGCCTTCCCATTTATAGTCATACATAAGACTATGTTGAAAACAAATATTCATAAACTGATTTCTTAATGGTTTGCTAATCAATTTCCTTAAATCTTGTTCAATATTCTTACTACAATGAGGAAATCTATTTTTCATATCTACCAATATTTGGTGAATTTGGTCAATTGCTTCTTGCTTAAATTCAGCTTCTTCTTGTTCACTTACTTCTAGATTTTTTAATTCAGTAATTTCTTGTTCTTTATTGGATAATTGCTTTTTCAATGTTTCAATTTCATTGATTAGTTCTTTATTTGCTTGTTGCTGTTCTTTTAGGATGTTTGTCATGATTTTCTTTAATTTATTCTTTTAATATATATATAAGTATATAAATTATTTTAGTACTTTTTTACTTTAAAAAGTGGAATATTCATTGAAAGATTAAATTTATTAAATTTAATGACAGTAAGGAACAAATTAATGAGTGATGAAGTCATAGAGGTGATTTTATTTTATTCATTGCCAGTAAAGATTGGTCTTGGACAAGTAATATCTTTAAATTCATCTCTAACAAATGGACGAATATTCTGGTAAAGATATTCTTGCCTTTTATTATTCAAAGGAGGTGGTGTTAACACTAAAATAGATAAAGCTCTAATTTCTTCAAAAATATCTGCTCTCTTGGTTTTCAATAAATTGAACTTAGTAAAAGGTCCATTAGCAACTTCTTGAACTTTTGCTGTACCAAGATTAGATGCTTCAAAAAGAAAATGTTGATATTTCTATGGTGCGAATCATCTAAAGACATCACGTGCTGCGCCATTTGCCGAAAATTTTTATGCTGATCTTGCTTTATAAAGAATTCAA